GGGGGGGGGGGGGGGGGGGGGCCTTCATGGCTTCTTGCACCTGGGCCCTGAGGTTCCTAGTTACGCCTCTGAATGCTGGTGCTATGCATCTCGCTTGCAGCAAGTCAGAACAACAAAAGGGTGCTCTACTAAGTACTAAAGATGCTTGCCATGAAGAGTTTCAATCATTGTGAGACTGCAGAAGTCATAAAATTTTGCATTTTCAGTTCAATTTGGGGAAACCACTTGAAACATTTGTTGTGTTGACCTATTTCAATTGCTTCTGTTTGATTTGTTCAATGCAAAAAGCTGAAAGTCTGTACATTTTGCCAATAAACCTGAATTGCAATGGGTGTTGAATCATTCTGATTACAGCTGTATGTGTGTTTCATGTGTGTGGGTGTTAGTATGTATCTGTGTGTTTACTTCATTGTTGTAGAGTGTTTGGAGTGTCGGATGCAGGTTGTCTGCCACCGCCATAGACATAAGACCGACCATTGTGTGCCTATGGCCGGCTTTAGTGAAGAATAACCCAATTACTTCATCGGTCTGGTGGGCCTTACACTTTTTACTTCTTTCTGATAGGATGCTACTAACTCCACGTATAATAAGTATAGACTATAGAATAACTTTAATATTTACATGTCATTTACTTACATCAATTGTAAATGAAGACTATGTACAGATAATACATGTATACACACATCAATAAAAGTGTAGATACTCTAAGGCCCCATTCACACCACATGTATTTGCATGATGTTCTAGGTACTTTCTATACCAGTAATATACAGGTGACCACTAGGGGAGCAATGACAAACTTTTTCTGTATATCAATTCCAATGTTTAAAATATGGAGCAGATATATATATTAGGGATGCACCGATACCGGTTTTTCGATATCGAGTACCGATTTATTTTTTTGGTGCTCGGCAATATTGAATACCGATGTCCCATTAAGGAAGCCAGGCAGCGTGTAATGACTCACCACCTGGCTTCCTGATTAGCAGGGAAGCAGTCTCCAGGCTCCCTTATCACCAGAAAAGCATGGAGCCGGCCTCCCGGCCAATCAGGAAGCCGGGCGCTGTGTAATGATGCGTTGCCAGACTTCCTCATTAGCAGGGAAGCCGGCTCCATGCTTCCTCGTCACCAGGTGATGAGGGAGCATGAAGCCAGCTTTCTGGCCAATCAGAAAGCCGGGGAGCGTGTAATGACACGCTCCCCGGCTTCCTGATTGGCCGGGAAGCCAGCTCCATGCTCCCTCTTCACAAGTAACAAGGGAGCATGGAGCCGGCTTCACGGCTAATCAGGAAGCCGAGCAGCGTGTAATGACTCGCTGCCCAGCTTCCTGATATCGGAAGCTCAAGTATTGGGCCAGGCATCAGAGCATTTGGGCGAGTACGAGCACTCACCCAAATACTTGGCATCGGCACCGATACCGGTATCGTTGCATCCCTAATATCTATCTATCTATCTATCTATCTATCTATCTATCTATCTATCTATCTATCTATCTATCTATCAGGGTCATATTAAAAATACATTTCAGGTGAGTATACTGTAGACATGTGCACCAGCAAAAAATATGTTTCGTTTTGATTCGGATTTTGCTTTATTTAGTTTTTCGGAATTCGGGTCCGAAAGTCAATTCGTTTCGGAATTCGGACGAAAGTCGTTAGCGGTAATCCGTACGAAATTTCGTTCGTTTCGTTCGTCCGTTGCAGCAAAGTGACATTCAAGAGTAAAAAAAGTTTTTTTTGTTCTCAAATGTCACTTTGCGGCAACGAAAGTTCGTCCAAAAAAACGAATCGGAAATTCGGATTCGTTTGCATTCGTTATATCTGTGATTCGGAATTCGGATACATCCGAATTTCAGACATTTCGTCCGAATTTCGATTCGGAACAAAATGAATGGCACATGTCTAGTATACTGAGGCGTGTCTCCTCAGTATACGATGGGGTTACCTGTCGTAAGGCGATCATATCACAAAGCCGGGACTTTTATATCCATGAGACACAGCAGCACTTTATTATAAAATACAGTAGGGTTTCTCCATCCGGAGGTCACTGTAAGGCCCCGTTCACATTGAGCGATTTATTGCGCGACTTTTGCAGCGATATCGCTCATATTTCCGCGCGATATCGCTCTTTGTAGCTTCTCCAATACATTTCAATGGAGCTGTTCACATCTCGTCGCTCAATATCGCTTGTAGCTCGTCGCTGGTAGCTTGTCGCTCCTACATGACCGTTTTTTAGAGCGATTTTGAGCGATATTGCTCCTGATTGCATACAGCCCAATAGGAAAAAGTCGCGCGACACGTCGCTCAGTATCGCTCAAAGTCGCGCGATTTTCATGTCGCTCAGTGTGAATGGGGCCTAAGTGTAAGGTAGGGTAGGCCATGACATACTGTATACAGTACTGTACAATATATATAATGGCGACCGCGTGACAGACTGAGGACCCTGCGAGGGCTCTGCCGCTGCTATCGTATACTATCGTAAAGACAACAAATCATAAAACTATCCATCGGAACCCGAGGAGCCGGTGTACGTCAAAACGTGTACTCACTGGAAATAAAGTCGTATACAGGTTCCTGAATATTACAAATAGTTCTTTCACATTTTAAGCTCAGTAGTTCTTTAAGGGCCCATCCTACCCACACCCATATCTGACCGGCAGGTGCCTGTTGATGGCCCATCAACCTCCTGCATAGCTTTGGAAAAGAAGTCCAAGGGAGCAGTCCCCATTCCAAAAAGCGTTGAACGTGCAGTTTTTTCTCGGACCGCTCCTGTGCATAAAAAGGGTTCACCAGGAGGCCCTCGTAGGACGTTCATTGACCTCCCTCATTGTTCTCCAGTAGTATCAAAGGCCATGTTGGTGTAGTGGGTCTTGTAGAGGTTCAATCCTGGGCGAATGGTAGAAGGTCGCCTCTCTACGTGGGCGGAGTTGTCGTAGAGCGCTCCCTTGTTGCCTTGGCTAATGCGTCGATAGTTGCCCGTATTGTTCCAGGAGGGCATTTGACCTTGTGGGACAACCGGAGGTTGGCTCTTGCGCTCCCCCATGCAGCACATAAACTTGTTCCTGAAAGCAGACATGAAATCAAACTGATCATCATCATCATTGCCATTGGCCCGCTTTGGGGAAAAAGGAGGAGTGGAAGAACAACCCCCGAGGGGTAGAGGTACAAACCCTTGAGCAATGGAACAGATGCCAAGTAAGTGTGGGTGCAATTGTGCTGGGACCTGCAATGGACTCTTGTACAGGGTTACAGCAGTGTGGGTGGAGGAACAACCCCCGAGGGGTAGAGGTACAACCCCCAAGCACTGGGACAGCTGCCAAGTGTGGGTGGAGCTAACCTCCTGCAATTGTGCTGGGACCTGCAAGGGATTATTTTACAAGGTTGCAGCAGTGTGGGTGGAGGAACAACCCCCGAGGGGTACAGGTACAACCCCCGAGCACTGGGACAGCTGCCAAGTGTGGGGGGAGCTAACCTCCTGCAATTGTGCTGGGACCTCCAACAGACTCTTGTACAGGGTTACAGCAGTGTGGGTGGAGGAACAACCCCTGAGGGCTACAGGTACAACCCCCGAGCACTGGGACAGCTGCCAAGTGTGGGTGGAGCTAACCTCCTGCAATTGTGCTGGGACCTGCAACGGACTCTTGTACAGGGTTACAGCAGTGTGGGTGGAGGAACAACCCCCGAGGGGTAGACAAGCAAAACAACCCCCAAGCACTGAAGTAGGTGAAGCTTACCTCCTGCAGTTGGGTCCTGCAAGGGACTCTTATACAGGGTTGCAGCGGTGGAGGAACAACCCCTGAGGGGTAATGGTACAACCCCCAAGCACTGGGACAGCTGTCAGGTAAGCGTGGGTGCAACGAACCTCCTGCAATTGTGTCGGGACCTGCAAGGGACTCTTTTACAAGGTGACCACAGTGCTGGTGGACTAACCCCATTGGGACAGAACCCAGAACAGGAAGAGAAAATAAATCTTCCAGGGGTGTCTGTCAGAAGCTGGATTTTAAAACCTGACAGAGCCTCTCTAAACCTTCCCAGTCTATCCAAATCTACCCACAAAAGATATATTTTGGCTGGAGTTAAAGGTCAAAAACTGCGAATAAATCTGAATTTCTCTAAGTTCTATCCCCGCTCCTAATAACCAGATCCATCTAGAAATGTGTAAACTGACTTAGTGAAGATACACATAGGATGGACTTCCTCAAGGCACTGACACAATATCACTGTGAATATGCACTCGCCTATGTCACAACTCTCACAGAGTCTGCCTTCTGAACTCTACATCTGGACAATGTAACTTGCTGGAAGTAATGCAGGGATCCCAACCTGCAAAAAAGTCATTTCACGGAGGTGCCCCTCTCATTTCAGGGAGGGGCCCCTCTCATTTCAGGGAGGTGCCCTTCTCATTTCAGGGAGGTGCCCCTCTCATTTCAGGGAGGTGCCCCTCTCATTTCAGGGAGGAGCCCTTCTCATTTCAGGGAGGCGCCCTTCTCATTTCAGGGAGGTGCTCTTCTCATTTCGGGGAGGTGCCCCTCTCATTTCAGGGAGGTGCTCTTCTCATTTCAGGGAGGTGCTCTTCTCATTTCGGGGAGGTGCCCCTCTCATTTCAGGGAGGTGCTCTTCTCATTTCAGGGAGGTTCCCCTCTCCTTTCAGGGAGGTGCCCCTCTCATTTCAGGGAGGTGCCCTCTGTCCATCTGTCCCCCCAATCCATGGGGGGGCACCCCCCTGAAATGATGACAGATATACCTGCTGCCGTCAGAATAAAAAAAAAAACGGCATAGGAATGAATAGCGAGATTGCTATTGGCTATATCAATTTGCAATATCCAATAGCAAGCTGGCTATTGCACCCGCCCTGCTGCTGTCAGTCAGCAGAGGAGGACCTAATGGAGAGCTTCAGGTCCACCTCTGCTGATGGACAGCAGCAGTGGGCGGGTTATAATAGCTAGTCTGCTATTGGCTATTGCAAATTAAAATAGCCAATAGCAATCTAGCTATTCATTCCTATGCCGTTTTTTTTTCCTGGTGGACGGCGGCCCCCGATGTCAAGAAAAAAAAAACAGATAGCAGGGAAAGGTTTACTCTGCTAGATAAGCAGAGTAAATCTTTCCTGGAGAAAATGTTTCTGTCCCGGGGGTCCGGGAGCCCCTATCTAATAGCGGGAGACTCGAATAATTAGAATATCGTGCGAAGTTCATTTATTTCACTAATGCAACTTAGAAGGTGAAACTAATATATGAGATAGACTCATTACATGCAAAGCAAGATAATTCAAGCCGTGATTTGTCATAATTGTGATGATTATGGCTTACAGCTCATGAAAACCCCAAGAACCCCAAATCCACAACCTCAAAAAAGTAGATTATTACATGCAATCAATAAAACAAGGATTGTACATAGAACAATATCGGACCTCTGAAAAGTACAAGCATGCATATGTACTCAGTACTTGGTTTGGGCCCCTTTTGCAGCACTTACTGCCATTACTTTTGCACCATATTCTAATTATTCGAGTTTCACCTGTATAGCGGGAGACTCCCGGAGTGTCTGGGAGAGTTGAGATGTCTGGGTGACACCAAAATGACTGGCAGTCATTTTGGTGTCACCCCCTCTGAAAAGTCGGGCCCTCGGTCATGGACAGTTGCAGGAGAGAGGAGGGGATTAGGTATCCCGCCGGGTGAACGTCCCCTCCTCTCCTTTGGTGTTGGCGCTCGCAGGTATCACCAAGATGGCTGCGCATGCGCAACGACGGCACGGCAGGGTGTCACCCAGTACCCGCTCCGGGTGACACCCGGCCTCGGGAGGACCCTGTTGGGAAGTGAAAGATTTTACAACGTACCCCTTCATGAAGGCAGCCGCAAACAGCAACACGATAAAAATCAGAGCCAGCAGGCACCCCATGACGATTTTCTTCCAGGCTGCAGAAAGACACAGAGGAGGGAGCTCAGTACAGGGAACACCAATCTTCATTTACATAGAAATCATCCGAACTCCGTTTTCACTGCGCGCCGCTCTGTGCGCTGCGCCGCGCCACTCTATTATTTAAAGGAGACCTATGAGGCGAGTGAAAATCAGTCATCCTCATAGTTGGAGCCGACGTGTGACAATGAGACTGTCACAGGTCGGCTCAGTAGATCGGGAGGTGAGGGAACACATATCGGCGTTCGCTCACTTCTCGATCATCTCCCTGCGGAGAGCGGTCACTGTCACTCACGGCTCCCTGCAGGGATTCCCCCCTTCCCGCTCTGATCCTCCAGCGCTGACTGGCGGAGCGGACGGGGGAGGGATTGCGTACAGCTGGCTCTGCCTCTAGATAGGCAGAGTCAGCTGTCACTCACGCAGCTGGGCGGATCTCGACAGTAATGTCCCGGCTGCGGCGATCAGTATATAAGGGAGCTGTAGCTGGCGGTATAATGATCTCAGGGTGACGGGAAGACGCTAGTTTGTGTCCTCTCGTGTCCCTTAGTAGAACTATGAGGAAAAGCACTGACCCCATAGTTCTCCTTGATACAGAACTGCCATACGAGGCTCTGTAATTGTTACTTTGTATCTTAAATCAAAAACAAACATTTCATATATTACATTATTGTTTTTTTGTCCTGCCATTGACACACTTCCTGTTCTCGGGTGACAACGCTCACTTGCTGTACTGTATCTATAGGGGAGCAGCGTTGTCATCCAAGGCTGCTCACCTGATTTGGACTACAGCTACCCCCCTCCTCGCCTGATCTTAGTTACATAGGGAGGAGATATTTAGGGGAAAAATGAACACAAGCTTGCGGGGAGAAGAACCGCGCTATTCAGTTATAGAAGAACTCCGGGGAAACTTTTTATTGACCCCTGTAGTGGGGCTATTCCCTACTAGTACTGCACTGGGGTTATGGCATTCCCTACTAATACTGCACTGGGGTTATGGCATTCCCTACTAATACTGCACTGGGGTTATGGCATTCCCTACTAATACTGCACTGGGGTTATGGCATTCCCTACTAGTACTGCACTGGGGTTATGTCATTCCCTACTAGTACTGCACTGGGGTTATGTCATTCCCTACTAATACTGCAGTGGGGTTATGGCATTCCCTACTAGTACTGCACTGGGGTTAAGGCATTCCCTACTAGTACTGCACTGGGGTTTTACTGGGGTTTAGGCATTCCCCTCTTATTCTGCCCTGGGGGTTATGGCATTCCCTACTAGTACTGCACTGGGGTTAAGGCATTCCCTACTAGTACTGCACTGGGGTTATGGCATTCCCTACTAGTACTGCACTGGGGTTATAGCATTCCCTACTAGTACTGCACTGGGGGTTATGGTATTCCCTACCAATACTGCACTGGGGTTAAGGCATTGCCTACTAGTACTGCACTGGGGTTACGGCATTCCCTACTAGTACTGCACTGGGGTTATGTCATTCCCTACTAATAGGGGCAGCCAACATATTTCACTCCCTTCTGGACACCAAGAACTACAAATCCACGAATGTTCCATCCTGGGACACAGGGAGGTGAGCAGATTACAGGTACAGGTCATGTGACAGATCACATGACATCGCTGGAATAAATACTCACTTTTGTTATCATTGTTGATGATGAAATCCGGCACTGCGGAGAAACCAGAGATATTGTCATCCATCTGTACCATCCTTCCACCTACCTACCTTCCATCCTTCCACCTACCTTTCATCCATCCACCTACCTTTCATCCATCCACCTACCTTCCATCCATCAACCTACCTTCCATCCACCTACCTTCCATTCATCCACCTACCTTCAATCCATCCACCTACCCACCTTCCATCCACCTACATTTCATCCATCCACCTACCTACCTTCCATCCTTCCACCTACCTACCTTCCATCTCCCTTCCTTTCATCCATCCACCTACCTTTCCTCCATCCACCTACCTTCCATCCATCAACCTACCTTCCATCCACCTACCTTCCATTCATCCACCTACCTTCAATCCATCCACCTACCCACCTTCCATCCACCTACATTTCATCCATCCACCTACCTACCTTCCATCCTTCCACCTACCTACCTTCCATCCTTCCACCTACCTACCTTCCATCCACCTACCTTTCATCCATCCACCTACCTTCCATCCATCAACCTACCTTCCATTCATCCACCTACTTACCTTCCATCCATCAACCTACCTTCCATCCACCTACCTTCCATTCATCCACCTACCTACCATCCACCTACCTTCAATCCACCCACCTACCCACCTTCCACCCGTCCACCTACCTTCCATCCATCCACCTACCTTCCATCCACCCACCTACCTACCATCTACCTACCTACCTTCCATCCTTCCACCCACCTACCTTCCATCCATCCACCTACCTTCCACCTACCTACCTTCCATCATTCCACCTACCTACCTTCCATCCACCTACCTTTCATCCATCCACCTACCTTCCATCCATCCACCTACCTACCATCTACCTACCTCACATCCATCCACCTACCTACCTTCCATCCATCCACCTACCTTCCATCCACCTACCTTCCATCCATCCACCTACCTACCATCTACCTACCTCACATCCATCCACCTACCTACCTTCCATCCATCCACCTACCTTCCATCCATCCACCTACCTACCATCTACCTACCTCACATCCATCCACCTACCTACCTTCCATCCATCCGCATACCTTCCATCGATCAACCTACCTTCCATCCACCTACCTTCCATCCATCCACCTACCTTCCATCCATCACCTACCTTCCATCCATCCACCTACCTTCCATCCACCTACCTTCCATCCATCCACCTACATACCTTCCACCCATCCACCTACCTTCCATCCACCTACCTTCCATCCATCTACCTTCCATCCATCCACCTACCTACCATCCATCCACCTACATACCTTGCATCCACCAACCTTCCACCCATCCACCTACCTTCCATCCATCTACCTACTTTCCATCCATCCCCCTACCTACCATCCATCCAACTACATACCTTGCATCCACCTACCTTCCATCCATCCACCTACCTTCCATCTGTCTGTACCATCCATCCACCTACATACCTTCCATCCACCTACCTTCCATCCATCCATCCACCTTCCATCCATCCATCCACCTACCTTCCATCCATCCACCTACCTTCCATCCACCTACCACCCATTCACCTACCTACCTTCCATCCATCCACCTACCATCCATCCACCTTCCATCCATCCACCTACCTACCTTCCATCCATCCACCTACCTACCTTCCATCTATCCACCTACCTTCCATCCATCCACCTACCATCCATCCACCTACCTTCCATCCATCCACCTACCTTCCATCAGTCTGTACCATCCATCCCCCTACCTTCCATCCACCTACCATCCATCCACCTACTTACCTTCCATCCACCTACCTTCCATCCATCCATCCACCTTCTATCCATCCATCCACCTTCCATCCATCCACCTACCTTCCATCCGTCCATCCACCTACCTTCCATCCACCTACCTTCCATCCATCCACCTACCTTCCATCCATCCACCTACCATCCATCCACCTACCTTCCATCCATCCACCTACCTTCCAACAGTATGTACCATCCATCCACCTACCTTCCATCCATCCACCTACCTTCCATCCGTCCATCCACCTACCTTCCATCCATCCACCTACCATCCATCCACCTACATACCATCCATCCACCTACCTTCCATCCATCCACCTACCTTCCATCCGTCTGTACCATCCATCCACCTACCATCCATCCACCTACCTTCCATCCACCCACCTACTTACCTTTCATCCACCCACCTTCCATCCACCTACCATCCATCCACCTACCTACCTTCCATCCACCCACCTACCTTCCATCCACCTACCTCTCTCTCTCCATATCTCTCTCTCGGTCTGTATGACAGTGTGTGGGCCGGTTGTATGGGTTGTACTCACAGGACGGATTGTAGCAGAAGGCGGACGCTTGGCTTGTAGTATCATAGCAGACGTCTGACACAAGCTTTCCATTCCGGATCTCACCGACTCCGCCATTGTACCAGGCGTGGCTGAGGAACACAACGCATGTGGAGAGCTGAGCAGAGACAACATTGCACAGGGGACCCGAATATATCGGCACACACGCACAGGACAATCTGATTGTACAACCTCCTTTGGCTCTGCCAGCAGCTGTGTAATATAGAGGAGTGACTGGTCAGAATAAATGGAGGTTTGGGTCCTCGTATGTCATAATATCGGGAAATCTGTGGAGATTGTATGGGGATTGTACAGAGATTGTACAGGGATTGTACGGGGATTGTACGGGATTGTACAGGGATTGTACGGGGATTGTACAGGGATTGTACAGAGATTGTACGGGATTGTACAGGGATTGTACAGGGATTGTACAGGGATTGTACGGGATTGTACAGGGATTGTACGGGGATTGTACAGGGATTGTACAGAGATTGTACGGGATTGTACAGGGATTGTACAGGGATTGTACAGGGATTGTAAGGGGATTGTACAGGGATTGTACAGGGATTGTAAGGGGATTGCCGTCATCAGAAGTACGGTCTGACTGTCCAAGATAGGCAGATCGTACGTTTTTTTTAATTGTAAAGTGTATGGGCATGTAATGTGTCTCCAGTCTATGACCATCTCCTGACACGTGTTCCCGATCTTCAACATCATTTTCTCTGACCATCTCTTGTATCATGTCTGCAGTCTCTGACCATCTCTTGTATCATGTCTGCAGTCTCTGACCATCTCTCGTAGCCTGCCTGCACTCTCTGACCATCTCTCGTAGCCTGTCTGCAGTCTCTGACCATCTCTCGTAGCCTGTCTACAGTCTCTGACCATCTCTCGTAGCCTGTCTGCAGTCTCTGACCATCTCTCGTAGCCTGTCTACAGTCTCTGACCATCTCTCGTAGCCTGTCTGCAGTCTCTGACCATCTCTCGTAGCCTGTCTGCAGTCTCTGACCATCTCTCGTAGCCTGTCTGCAGTCTCTGACCATCTCTCGTAGCCTGCCTACAGTCTCTGACCATCTCTCGTAGCCTGTCTACAGTCTCTGACCATCTCTCGTAGCCTGTCTGCAGTCTCTGACCATCTCTCGTAGCCTGCCTACAGTCTCTGACCATCTCTCGTAGCCTGTCTACAGTCTCTGACCATCTCTCGTAGCCTGTCTGCAGTCTCTGACCATCTCTCGTAGCCTGTCTGCAGTCTCTGACCATCTCTCGTAGCCTGCCTACAGTCTCTGACCATCTCTCGTAGCCTGTCTACAGTCTCTGACCATCTCTCGTAGCCTGTCTGCAGTCTCTGACCATCTCTCGTAGCCTGTCTACAGTCTCTGACCATCTCTCGTAGCCTGTCTACAGTCTCTGACCATCTCTCGTAGCCTGTCTGCAGTCTCTGACCATCTCTCGTAGCCTGTCTACAGTCTCTGACCATCTCTCGTAGCCTGTCTGCAGTCTCTGACCATCTCTCGTAGCCTGTCTGCAGTCTCTGACCATCTCTCGTAGCCTGTCTGCAGTCTCTGACCATCTCTCGTAGCCTGTCTGCAGTCTCTGACCATCTCTCGTAGCCTGTCTGCAGTCTCTGACCATCTCTCGTAGCCTGTCTGCAGTCTCTGACCATCTCTCGTAGCCTGTCTGCACTCTCTGACCATCTCTCGTAGCCTGTCTGCAGTCTCTGACCATCTCTCGTAGCCTGTCTGCAGTCTCTGACCATCTCTCGTAGCCTGTCTGCAGTCTCTGACCATCTCTCGTAGCCTGCCTGCACTCTCTGACCATCTCGTAGCCTGCCTGCACTCTCTGACCATCTCTCGTAGCCTGTCTACAGTCTCTGACTATCTCTCGTAGCCTGTCTGCACTCTCTGACCATCTCTCGTAGCCTGTCTACAGTCTCTGACCATCTCTCGTAGCCTGTCTGCAGTCTCTGACCATCTCTCGTAGCCTGCCTGCACTCTCTGACCGTCTCGTAGCCTGCCTGCACTCTCTGACCATCTCACGTAGCCTGTCTGCAGTCTCTGACCATCTCTCGGAGCGTGTCTGCAGTCTCTGACCATCTCTCGTAGCCTGCCTACACTCTCTGACCATCTCTCATAGCCTGTCTACAGTCTCTGACTATCTCTTGTAGCTGTCTGCAGTCTCTGACCATCTCTCGTAGCCTGTCTACAGTCTCTGACCATCTCTCGTAGCCTGCCTGCACTCTCTGACCGTCTCTCGTGCCTACCAGCTGTCTCTGACCATCTCTCGTAGCCTGCCTGCACTCTCTGACC